AACGATCGTCTAAAATGGAGACGAGCAAACGCGAGATAGCTGAGTATAGGTCAGCCAAAAAAAATATTTAGTGAATGCCAAATTGCATATGGAACAATTGCACCATCTTTATAGACTATTACTAAATGGTTCCAAGAAGTTCAGACTGGATATTTTTTCGTGGAGGACGAACTTCTAGAAGGGCGGCCATAATATTCCACTGCTGACGCTGCTGTACCTCTGGTGAAGTCTAAAATTCACGAAGACCCACAATTTAACCAAGAAATGATTGCTTATAAATTGGGCTTGAATACCATGGTTGTAACGTGAACACTAAATATTTATCTGAGTTACACAAAGAAATTTGATCGATGGGTCTAACGAATTTTAAATGAGGCCCAAAAAGAGGCTCGTGTGCATTTTGCTCAATTTTTCCTAAACAAATTCGAGAATGGTCAGTCTAGCAACCTTAATAAAGTCGTTACTGGTGACGAATCCTGGTTCTATAAGTACGATCTAGAAACCAAACAGCTGTACATGGTATGGAACCCAATAAGAGCATACCCATCCTTAAAATCTAAGCAAAAAAAACATCACCCGATCTAAAATCGTAGCTGCTATTCCACTGGAAAAGGTACAGTCGGTAACTGCAATATGGTAGACCGAAGAATGCTTAGAATAAGTTTTCAAAAATTTTATTAGGAAACAGCAAGAAAAAGGATTTGCGGCGCTACTTTTTACATCATGACAACGCGCCATCCCACACTACTAAATTAACGTGTAACTTTATTGCGAACTCTAGGTTCGAAGAAATACAAAAAGATTTTTTTTTCTGGTCAACTTATCGAACTTTTGTTAATTCCCTCGTACATTAAATATAACACAAATAAACTTTGTTCATGCTAGAGGCAGTTTCCTGTTTGTTAAAGAGAAGTTTTTAGTATTGTAATTATGTATATAATACTGTTTATGGGTTCGATGTTACGATATTTTAGTTAATTTTTGTTAAATTCATAATAAATACCAGCAGTGCTTTCACTCTCAATTAAGGCCAATCAGTGTCTCCAAGCACCTCATGTCTAGCTGTAATTTCATATCAGATTACAATATAAAACAATTCAATTTCTGTAAAGAAATTAACAAAAAATGCTGAACAAATATTATTTACGCTAAAACTGACTGACATTGACGCGAAATATTTTTAAAAATTTTCCAAAAGTTATTCAATTCCAAAAAAAGGTGTTCATCACTCCAAATGCGACATTTTTGTTTAATAATTAGACCATTCAACCAAATATGAGCTTCAACGCTGAACAAAATTTTCTTGTGAAACCCGGGATTGGTGGTCACTCGTTAAGAACCCAATCACCGTATGTGCCAAGCGCTTGATAATCGCTACGATAATCATCTTGAGCTGTCTGGATCTTGTGAGCCAGCAAACTAAGAGCTTTCCACAAAATCTTCCATAAACTGGATGAGAAACACAGATCCAATGTGCTGGCGCAAGAATAATTCGGTTCTTCTTCCTACCCTGCTCCACAGCAGCAAAATTATTTTACGGCATCTCTGAGAATACGCATTATTCACTAGAGTAAACGTGGTGCGGAACCGATCCATAGCAAGTATTAATCAGATAATAACAGCTGTCAAAAGAACCAACTCCAAAAAATGTCTTGCTTCATTGAAAGAAACACGTTCAGCAAGCACCCTTTATTGTCCAAATTTTATTGGCAAAGTAATATTCACGAAGAAGGGATATGAATTAACTTCAAAATTCTGAGTTTGTATAAAATCTTCTTCTATTTACAATAAAAATTTCTTATGGGAAAAGTAATCGAACCAGGATATTCCTTCGCTGAAAAATCGATTTTGAATAATCGAAAAGTAAATTTATATTTTATATTGAAAAAGAACAAACATTCCTCCAATTGCAAGTCTCTGACTCTCTATTTATTTAATTTTTTTTCCATAAACATTTTATTCCTGATAGTACGAAGTTCAAGATAGACACATGAGTGGGGTTCTTCAGTGGCCACTCCAAAATGTAAACAACTTCATACAACAGCAATTCCAATTGTTTGAGAACAAGTAGCGATGCAGTTAATATACTCTTTTTGCAAAACTGAGTAAACATCATTCGGGTCCAGCTCACGTGTATGTAGATGGCAATGAGGCTTTTCAAAATGTTTTCTTAAGCAATGTATAGCATAACATCTAACGTAGGACATATTATTAAACCACTGTGGGCACCAGAGTGTGTTGCGGACAGACCAGACAATTACTTGCATTATGCCAATGACAACTCAGTCTGTAACTAAGACTTTTGGTTCTAAGAAATAAGATTCACAGTGATTATATGGCACTTGGTGGAGACTTTGTTGACAAACAAGACCACAAAAAGTGGAAAGGAATAAAAATATGCATCTTGAAATGGGTTAACTACAAAGGAGTTGTGATTTGATATTTACTTAAATATCTTTCATGGAACAGGCAAGAAGCATGAATTAATTCCTACCCCCCACACGCTCTCTTGCTTGCAATTTGTTGTACTGAACTTTTAATAAATATTCTTTTTTCAAAGATTTTTTTTTTTTTCAATTAACGAAACCATGCTTCAAATTTTATATTTTGTATTCACGATTATTTTATGAATAATTTGCATAGGCTGTAATTTTATTTTGTTATAGGATGATTTTTGGCTGCCGAAAAACAAAAAAAAATATTGCACTGACGTGTTTGAAACTCTTATAGTTTATTTTAAAATGTTTTACAAAATAAATAGATTTTTTTCAGCCTCATAACTTAGATATAACTTTGGCTGGGTTAACCTTGGCTAAACTCACCACTGTGATATGCTGGCAACTAAAATTATTTTCAGAGATTTGTTTTTTATTTTATAATAATAATTTTTTACCACTTTTCTAATTTTTTTTTTTCATTATTATCGGTAATTTTTTATGAAAATAATGATACTTTAATTAAAACTGATCAGCTATATTAATCTTTCATATCACAAAAACACTCAAATGAAAACAATTACAAAATAATGTATAATTTTTTTTTATATTAAAAAACATTTCACATATTTAATAATTTAATGAAATTTATATTAACTTTATGTAATGAGAAAAGTTTTCAAACGAGTTTTTCTTACTAAAAAATTAGTTAAGACAATTTAGATTTTTATTACGTCAACATACGCGGCAATCATAAAAACGACAATGAAAAAAGTTTATTTCTTTTTTATTATTATATTAGTATCACTATATTTTATATATATATATATATTATCATTATATTCCAAAAACCGAACAAATGTTAATTTGTTTATACTCGTTACAAAAGACCTTTTTTACACAGATATGTTTAACAATTCAGCAAAAGGCATTAACAAACTAAATACAAACTCTGAATAAAACTGTGCAATTGGCATACGTTTTTTTTATAAAATATTTGGAGTCAGCGCTAAAAAAAATGGAAAAATTATAAATAGTTTTTTATATTGTTTTTTTTTTTCAAATTCTATTCCTTTGAGGTGGAAATAATGTAGCCAGCACTGCCTTTAAAGGTAGACATAGTTTTAAATAGTTATGTTGGTTCCTAGATCGATAAAATCAACTAGAACCCGAAAGTTATGACTGTAAGCCACGATGTAGTGGCCAAGACGCAACCGCGCTGACTGTATCTTTGATGACAGAAGATATTTCGTCTTGCACTCATTCACGGTCAGACCCGTTTGCCTTGCCATTATGGAGAAATCAGTACTTACGCTGCGGTTTTTGAAGTCAATGATATCAATATCATGGCCTTCAAAAGCAGTTTTATGCTCTTTCAGAAGATTTTCTTTTCACCTTGTTCTCATTCTTACAGAACTATCATCTCATGCAACTTGGTAGTTCGGGCAATCGCTATTTATTCTTCATCATATTCGCGAGATGGTGCTTTTATACCAACGTCATCAAATGGGTTTTCGGGTACGTAACAGACTGTAGAACTTTTTCCTACATAAATTCAATATATATTCACTATCTGTCAACTTCCTGAAATCTTCTGAAGGAAATATCTTACGTTAATCACCTTTTTAAGTTTTTTATACTCACACATTTAACCCTCTCTTTTGCGTTTCGCTTCTCTCTCGGTATCTATACCATAACATTCGTGCTGCGGCCGTTCGATAAGCAGAATTATATTTTTTTTTTTTTGACTTTGTCGCAAGCCAGAACTTATAGCTTGCTACTGCTCGTAGGCAGCTTGAAATGTCGTTTCACAGTTCCCTTATACCGAGTTGTCGATGAGTTATCTTAAAAAGCACGAATGTTATGTTATAATTGCAGCCTCGGACTTTGCAACAAGACAGTGGTCCAAGAACCACGGACTAGTAGGCACATCTGGAACACTGGAGACGTATCTTCCATCTATCACAACATTCTAGACAACTACCTAACTTAAGGGACTTTTTTTTATCGAAATTTGGTTTTCCGGATATTTCTGGCCCAGTAAAGTCTCAACCTATTTAGGGATAGCTCCATGTGTAGCTTGATCGGTGAACCAAAGATGCCTTATATGCATGCTCTAGCGATACAATGCCGCCCAAGCACGAGTTTTGTCCTGATGGAACTTCTTCATAAATATTAGTGGGCTCCAGTGTTCTCCTTAATTTTGGGAAGTTAAGAACCGGGCGAGCGCATCTAAGCCATTGAATAGGTTTACTGTGTTCCCTGACGTATACCAATTATGCGCTATTAAATAAATTGGCTGGAACTCGGAGGACAGGCTCTTCACTCTACCGATACTAATATACCTAGCTTTATATAAGTAAACGCTAGATATGTGTGTATAGATTTCATCCTTAATATGTATATGAGAACCTTTGAGTTTCTTGCCTTCTTTGGTATTTTCCCCCGGCATAGCCAGAAGCAAGTAAACATTAATACAAAAAAAACCACTCGAGATGAAAATAGTATTTCAATATTTAAACAATTTTTTTTTTTTTCATTATTTTAATTGATTTATTTGTATGCCTTTCCGTTCATTTATTATCTGAATATTAACTACCCAGCAAGCATAAAATTCATAATAACTTCTGAAAAGCATTCGCAAAACTGAAATTTCGTTTTTGTTGTTCTATCAAACTCAAGCCAATGACCACTTTGTTAGATCCGGAACTCTTACCAATCAACCATTACTTCAAGTTTGGAAATCGGGCTGAGCTAAATTTGCCGAAATTGTTGGGTGAAGCAGTTTTTTTTTATATTTCGGTGGTTTCTATTGGAAATCATTATCGCATCTCTCCAAGATCTTTAATATATTCAACGGTATTATTTCTAGAGGGTATAAGGTTAACTGACGAGAAAGACACATCGATTCATACATCCCATACCATTTGTGTTTAATGCGGCGTTTCCACGACATCGTGAATTACATTGTTCATCCTCTCAATTACGAGTGCGAATTTCCCCATTCAAAAAGCACGCAATTTGACAGTTTTCTGTTTCCATTTGAAAAAAGTGAAAATTCAAAATGAATAAAATATTAAATTGAATTGATATTGTAAATAAGAACATGTGGCACCTGACAAAAAAATATCCTTAATTCAACACCTTCAATCAAAATTATATTATCTTGCGCTGCTTATAATTTCCACAAATTTTATATCCGCTTGGACATTATAGTTCCTTTCATGATACAAAAAATCATGGGTAATTTCACTCAATAAAAAATCTACAGAAAAAGACTTTTTGACATAAAATCTTATTTTCAATTTAACTTCATTAAAAAAACATTTCATATATTTTTTTTTATCAAAAAAATGCTAAGCTGCCTGAAAATAATATTATTTTAATTAGATTTCGGAAAGTGCCTTAGAATTTTTTGCGAGTAGTTTTATTAATCTTTATTGCTTTGGTTACCATGAAAGGTTTTGTATTTTTTGTAATACAATATGTTTCTTTAATTTTAGCAAATTGAAAATTTTTTTTCAAGGCGAATTTATAGAAGGTGCAATTGTCACATTATATGATTGCTTGATCTTCCTTCCATTTTAACAAATTACACAAACCAAATACATGAGAAATAGATTTTGACATTGCGAACTCTTTATTACACCAACAAAATACCAGAGAATGTTTTCAACTCTAAGTTCTCCGAAAAAAACATTGAACGAATCTCGTTTTTAACGTTTCGAACCTACGATTACACAAACAAAATACATAGAGTTTTTGTTTTTGTGTACTTGCTACTATCGTGTGTAAATTTGCCTTGATTTATTTTTAAGAAAATGAAATTGATAGCACAAAAATTAAGCAAAAGTCCAAAAATCTTTCTTTGTCAGCAGGTTAATGCAAGTTTTTAAAAAAAAAAAATTTTTTGAGTGAGAACTACCTTGTTTTTTGAATCTTGGTTTCTGTAATCATTTGTAGTTTCTTTCTTTTTTATTTACATAAATAGTGTTAAGTTTCAAATAAATATTTGTAAATTAGTGTTTTAAGATTTTCATCTACTAAGTTGTGTTTCGTCAGCTGATTTCGATAAATTTTCGTTAAGAATTAGAGAAGCTAATGATTTGGTCGTAATTCGTAGGGTAATTAAGAATGAACTACGCGTGCTTAGTGTAATTCGCTCTCCAAAAATTCGTATGGCGAATTAAGGAATTCGGAGGGCGAATTACGATTGATAGAGCGAAACACGTGATTGGCCTGTTAGCTAGCTGACATATCCAGCTTGACCTTCTATTGTGCACGTTCAGCCAGATAAACCTAATATCCTGACTGTTCCTTGTTTCTTGGACTGATATGAATGATACATGGTTCCTGTGAGCCATCGAGGCGGTGGAAAAATTTATTTCGATTGCAGCTAAAGAATCGCCAAACAATCCATTGAAGTTTTCACACGTTTGCGATTATGGTATAGTTGCGCGAGGCAGAAATGTCTATAGCCTCAGACATTTTGGACATTTTCTTCATTCAATCCTGCAGTATAATTCCGTAGATATTCTGGAAAATTTTTGATGTGACGCCAACTTTTGAGTGAAAAGCCACATTTACCTCATATTCAAGGCGAGATTGTTGTGTTTAATGGGTTACTTTGCGCAGGCGGTTTATTTATTTTTTTATTTCTATAGTATATGCATGTACATATACACTTTTGTATATAATAAGCCTGTTTCTCATGTTTGTTTATGGTTTTTTTTTATTTCTTTTGCACAAGTTTTTTTTTTTTAAAGTCGCACAAGCCGCTTTCCGCATATTCATTAAATTTAAGCGGATGTGTCGCATAAAGTCTATAATTGTTATAAATCTACATATTTTTTCACGAAATACAATAAAAGCAGGAAAAAACAGAAAAAACGAATTTTAAATATATTTACATAAATATTGAGTTTAAACTTTATTTAATTTAACCAAACTGTCAACATGCATACACAAGTACAAACTAAATGATTTAAAAGCTTATTTTTTCCGGTTTAATGACATGACAATTTTTTCGTTCATTTTTTTTTTTTTTTGTTTGTTTTTTTTTTGTACCTTTCCTGCACATGGAATGGTACGAGTACATCAATTTTTTTCCGAACTATGTTTGTTTAGTCGGATTGGCAAGGAATCGTCTGCACTATAAACTGCATCCTTACTGCCAAACTCTACATGCGTTTTAAATCACCTGAAGAAAGCGATCGCCCAGAAGTAAACAGCTTTGGCCAGTAGTTGGCCTGTGTTTCATCAGGACAACGCCTTGACATAAATATCGAAAGTGACTTACCAAAAGCTCTCAGAGCTAGGTTTGGAAAATTCTTAAGCATCCACCTTATAGTCCGGTCCTCACACCAAGTGATTACCATCTGTTCTTATCTGTATTGAATGATCTGACTGGTGGAAAATTCGCCTCAAAGGAAGGAAAATTTATTAAGCAAAACAAGGAATTTAATTATTGTAAATCATGCAAAAATAATAGATTACGTTTTACTGGACAAATTTTCGGATGGAGTATAATTAGCCCAGTGTAAATATCCTCCTTATAATGTCGCTGGTTTTATGATCTTTTTTATTTCAATATTCCCAGCAATAACATTTCTAGTGTGAAGTTTGTTCCATATTTTAGTTAACTTTTTCAAACATACATAGATATTTTTAAGGAGGACCGACACCTTCATCCAATCATGGTTACAGTAATTTTTAAAATCTTTCAAACAAACAAAAAAATAAAGCTGTAGCTGAAACCGGCCGTGGCAAAAGCCGAGTGTTGAATAAAACCCAGGTTTGTAAACTCCTTGCCTTTCTTTGAAATTGGGCAATCCACAAATGTCATTGCACCGAATTTTGGTTAAAGTCTTAAGTATAAAGGTTTATAAAGTTCAATTAACCCAAGAAATCAAGCCGATTGATCATCAACAATGTTGTGTCTTTGCTGACTCGGCTCCTTAAATTCGGAATTTCGTGGAAAAATCATCTTGATTGATGAGCGGGGTTAATGCATCTTACTTTTTCGAATATGAGGGCGAAGTTTCCAGACCGTGTGATCTCTCGGAGAGGTGATCGCAATTGGCCACCGAGTTATTGTGAATTAAAACTTTTGGCTTCTTCCTTTAAAGCCACGTGACAGAAAAGGTCTACGCTAATACCCCAATGTCGATTAAAGGCCCTATTGGGCGCATACAGCATCTAATTTGAGATTTGGTTATGGAAATTTTCATAAAAAATATACGGTGCTGTAAGCGTAGTCCTGACGGCCATTTAATTGATCTTGTTTTCCATTAGCAATGACATACACGTATATTCTCCTTTACAATAATCATTCAATCATTCATCTCAAAAAACACCATTTTTCTTTAAACATAAAAGAAGCACCTCTTATTGGAAAACTCTGTATAAAAGCGTGTAACATTGAAATAAAAACAGATTTTATTTTAAAATTCATTTCTGCACTATTTACTTTTGCATGCTTTTTTAAAAATCCATTTTGTTGTACGGCAGAAAAAAAAATTAGTTAAATAAAACTTTATTTTGCCAAAAAGGAATAAGAAAGCTAAAAAATATTACACACGAATTTCAACTCCATTTACCTCATATACGCAATCGCGAAATCCAACTAAAATTCTTAAATAAAACACCAATAATGCATAAACGATAATACACAAAAACTACAAATATAAAAATAAACATTTAGAAAAATAATAATACGAAATTCTAAAACAACTTTTATATACTGAAATACACAATAATGCATATGTAGGGTATAATACAAGTACAATATATTCGCTTGTAGTCATGTTAGTAAATAAATATGTATATAAATACACATAAATTTCCTTAACTATTCAAGCGAAAAGTTGTACAAAAGTTAGTTGTGCTGCAGCAGAAATGAGTGTGCCAACAGCTAACAGGCAAGCGACTAAACCAGACACGCAGCCAAGCAAATATTTTTAAGCGGCAAACTAAGCGAGCAATCGGCGAACTATCCGAAACTTCAGCAAAGCAGAATTTTTTCTATTTTTATTAAATTTAACTAAACATTTTTTTTATATATACAGCTCTATATATGTATCTATGGAGAGCGCAATTGTGAATGCTCACGGTGTGAATGCTCACAGTGCCAAAATCGAATGCACAACTCATTGGATATGAAATATGTATTCATATACATATAAAATAGAATACATTTATTTCACAATGGAAGCCAAAATATTTTGCATGCATGCAGATCTCTTAAATACCCGCTCAATGAATATGAAACAACAATACTTCTGTATGAGTCGCTGCGCTTAGACTGGACCTTATGGTTATTGCAATGAAACGATCGCTTACTGCCATTCGAAAGACTCGCCCTCAAATCCTGGTGTCGTAATAACACCCAAAAAGTTATAGGAAATCAATTTAAATAAAAATTTAAACTAAATTTTCTAATTGCGGTCGCCCCTCGGCAGGGAATGTCCAACCTCTCCGAATGTATTTCTGAGATGAAATAAAGGCTTCTCATAAAATACTATGAGCCGTTCGGAGGCGGCTTAGTATAAACTGTAGGTCTGCCTATTTTGTTGGAAAAACAGCAAGACGCAAAACCGCAAATTGTAGGAGGAGCTCGATCGAAAATCGCTTTAGCGGTTACAAAGCGAAAATTAACAAAAAATTAAAATTGTTGCAAAATGAGAAGATAAGGAAGAATTCAGCCTTATTTAATGCAAATATTTTCATATCTCAACAGCTCTAACAAAATGTATAGCTGACATTATTTAAAATCTAAGCAACGCGGGTGAAATTCTCGCCCATCCTAATACTCATACAGGCAACACATACATTCAAATAAATATATGCACATAATTGGCAGCAAAACTGCAAATGACTGCAACTGAGCGTTGAATTATAGCCGATTTCGAAAGTTTTAAATGCCATCGAAAAAGAATTCTACCAAAATATGAATCGGTATTTATGTGTATGTGTTGTTTCACACTGAATATATAGCGCGGTTAAATTAAATACGCTTGCCATTTGAAACACATAGAAATAAAGCATTTTAATAAAAGAAAGCTATTCAGTGAGCTTACTACGAGATATGAGCGCTGAACACCTTGTGTCCCACGAATCAGTTCGTCCCGTTTTAAACGAATACCTAAACACGAAGCTCACCTCCGCTCTATTGTTTTGAAAGATCTGATTTTTCTTTAAAAACTTAATCGCTTAAAACTTATTAAAGTTTAACGAGTCAATTGCACTTTTCGAGGTAGAAAAATCGTCGAAAA